CAGTGAGTGCGATTTCCCTTCAAACAATCTTCATCCATCGCTCCAAATGCGCCTAATTTTATCATTTTTTTCATGATACATAGACGGCACCGACTCTGTTAGTTCAGATGTGGTCGTTAGTTTGTAGATTCTGTTTGCTAAAGAAAGAAAATGAGCAGATTTATCGCAGCGCTTCGTCCCCAGCTGTGCTCTTTTCAACATGGCAGCTTCCTTGATGTGTAGACGCTCAGAGTCCCATTGAACCGACTGTTTATGTGTGTAGGCATCTTATTGAGCTGTATTAGTTTTGCTATAAGTAAAGGGGCTTATGCGGTGCACTTAATAATGTGTCCGAGCAAAATAATTAAAATGAAAACAGCTTGAAAGCTGTTAGCCTAGCTGAAAGCTAATGCTAATGTAGCATAAACGAGAGGCCGACTTGGAGACGTGTTGGCGGATTGACGGGTTTGATATGATATTGACACTGAGTTCAAATGTGCCCTCTCTTTCTGGCAGAAATGGGCAAGTTCATGAAGCCTGGGAAGGTGGTGATGGTCCTAGCTGGACGCTACGCTGGGCGCAAAGCTGTCATCGTCAAGGTAAGACCGAAGAGCTTCTGGGAGTTTGCTGATTGTATGGCACATGTGCCTGAATATGTACACACCAAGCTCTTACCAGAGTTGTACATCTGAAAGCCAAATTGCCATTTGTCTGCATGTTGAATTTCCAAGAATACAGTATTCAGGCCATGCGATGAGGGATGGAAAATAAGTCCTATTACAGTCCGTGTATTATGTGTTTCCCATGTGTTTCAGTAAGACAGCCTACAAACGTTTTGTTATAACTACAGTTGGGCTTTGTGCTCAGAGCTCGTCACTTCATGTATATATATTGGATGTAAAACTAGAAAGTGGTGAGTAAATATCTCTGTGGATGCTGGGGAGCATGTTGCCTGTGGAGCACAGCTCAAGCTCCTTGCTTTAACTGACTTTGCTTTAGTAGTGTTTGGAATTGTACACAATTGTGTGTGCTGTGTGGAAGGAGGCATCTCTTTTTCAGAAGATATTCTAAGATGGTCAAGTTGGCGTAAGTCCATAATTAAGGTAGCTGAATGATAATTGGAATGCTACGACATACCTGACCAGCTGGAAGGGAAAACATGAGATGGGAAGAAACTGAGTTTACATAATTTCCTTTGGGATTAAAAAAAAAAGTATAGTGACTCTGATAACAATACCAGATGGTGTCATTCCCTCAGGTGGAAAGAAAAATAAAATAAAAGGCTGGGTAACTCACCAGAAATAACTGGCTTTACTTGGGTGGGCAGCACATTAAAGGAAAACTGATACGTGGGGAAACACTGATACATTTCTTTGCCTTCAAATACATACTGCAGTGGTAATTCAGCTTTTCGTCTTGTAAGTGTTTCGTGTCTCTGATGTCACATCCTCCTGCTAATGTCTGCCTGCAGAACATTGATGATGGCACCGCTGACCGCCCCTACAGCCACGCTCTGGTCGCCGGCATCGACCGCTATCCCCGTAAGGTGACCACATCCATGGGCAAGAAGAAGATCGCCAAAAGGTCAAAGATCAAGGCCTTCGTTAAGGTGTTCAACTACAACCACCTCATGCCCACCAGGTCAGTGTCTAATCTGCATTGACATAATTAGGTTTTCCTGTAAAGAAAATAAAGTGGTGGTGACAGATGAAGTCTTTTGGAATGTCTTATAAAAAGTGTCCAACAGCTGTAACATGATTGGATACCATATTATTAATGCTAAATCAAGAAAGGCTGTCATTTTTCAAAACATCTGGTTGATTAAATGTTTTGAGTTTAATTGAGGAGGCTGGTTATTCTTCTTTCAAAAATCCAATCCAATCTATGGGCTGAAATCTGACACTGTGTTCTTCCCATTATTATTTATGTGTCTGTGAAGACATTTACAGATAATCAATGATAATCAATATTGTGAAACTTGTGTAATGACAGTTTCTGTGAGTCTCATATTCATAAATC